AATTTAATGAATTTTAATCGTAGAACAAAATATTTGTTTTTAGACAAAAAGCGATGATTTGGCTAATTATAGTTTACATGATCTGTCTTATATAGTAATCATAACACTACACATTTCTCGCGAATTGGGCACGTTTTGGACTTGTAATTACAACAATCGATGCTTTGTCTGTGCACGTGTGCCGGCCACAGAGTTCTTTCAAACAACATCGTTGTTTGGTATGATGAGCAACGGGTGTTTTCTGGCTATATTGTCTCTCAATCAAATTCAATTAAGCATTTTAAGAAACGTTTTTCAAATAAAAGTTTTAATTTCAACATTTGTGACCTATTTTGAAACCATAGAATTCTTGAAAATTTTGACAAAAAAAATCATCTGATAATTTTGACAATGTATCTTTGAAGATATGACTTCAACTTTATCTCTTACTATAAGTCGAATATATGTTGAAAAGCATGCACAAATTCATGTTTAAATCTTATCAATGACGTAAAAKGATCTCATTTGACATATTTTTTTCCTATTTTCCATTGGATGCAACACACTTCTTCACATAATATTCATCACATAAATGAATATTACTCTTATGTGTCATAAAGTTACCACGATTAAACGTTTTTTGAATCATCAAATACAGTAACATTTTATTACACTTGCGACTTGGTTATCACTTTATATAGCWGTTCGTAATAGCCAATCAAATTTGGCCTATTGTCATTATAAGCCAATGAGAGTCCGACTTGAGACACGTGCTAATTTGGCGCTAATTGTTGGTGCGGTTCAAGAAAAAACAAAGCGATTGAATCTGGCTGGGAGAATGATTTGAGTATTGTCGATTTAAAAATTCACTGAAAATGGAGGCTGAATTACTTTGTGGTATATGTAAAAAACCTTTCTCATGTCCTATCCTCCTGCCATGTACTCATAATGTGTGTATAGGCTGTGCGAAGACGAATGTTATACAAAGTGGCCATGAAAACAAGACAACCATCCCGGCGCACGGGGACCAGAGAGTTGCTGAGATCTCAGATTCAATATCGGACGATTCGGGCTATGTAAGTGTAAACGAACTAAACCACCTTTACCAGGCTATTGGGAATATTCCGTGTTTAAAATGTCCAGTTTGCTCAAGAATCTTTCCGCTCGATGCAAGAGGGTTTAGTGGTTTTCCTCGCAATCGTCTACTAGAAAATATCGTAAATCGTCATTACGCGAAATCAAATGGTAATATTTACTGTCAACTATGTGAAAAAGATCCTCCAGCTAAAGCTAGTGTTATGTGTGAACAGTGTGAAGTTGTTTATTGCGATGAATGTTGTAAAACGTGCCACCCAAGTCGTGGTCCGTTGGCAAAACACAAATTGACTAAACCTAACGCTAAGACTTCCGCGGTGCGAAGCTCGACGATAAATTGTGGCGACCATCTCGAGGAAAATAACAGCATGTATTGTGTGGCTTGTCGTATTCCTGTATGCTACGTTTGCATAGAAAAGGGAAAACATAAAGGGCACGAGGTAAAAGCACTGGGAGCCATCTTCAAAGAGCAAAAGGTATGATGGTGGATCTATGTCAATACTATCTATCATACAGTCGATGATAGACTGTGTACATAATGTTAAATGTTTCCACAATTATGAAATTCACGCTCTAAATCTCCTGTTAAATTCATTTCTACACTATACTAATATATAAAATAAGCTTTGTTTAATTTACTAAGCGATTTTTAGATTTCTGCGCAAATATCAAATAAATTTGATTTATGTTGCATACTACCGAAGGCGTGTGGGAATAAATTTTTCACTAGCGTTGGGAAGTGGAGGGGTTTTTGTCGTGTTGCCGCCGTAACCCAAATCCTTGAGTTAGCAAGCTTACAACCACAAGATTTATCTGTTCAAACTGATACTGAGTGAGTTCTTGCGCGATGTTTAATGGAATTTAACGAAAATTTGTGGTTTGAAATGTTGCATTGTTTTGCACCTGTCCATACAAGAAATGGACAGTAATCCCAGAACACAAATAATTGAACAGCATCAGTGATCGGAATCGTAAGAAAGCTTTACATTCTCTAAACCACAAGGACATTACATTTTCAAAAGGAAACCATGTGTCATTTTMATAGTATTTCAGGTTGGATTTTTGCTATCATTAGGATCTGTTTTCTTGCTGTACCCTGGTATTCAACAGCGGAAATGATCTATGAATATTGATAGCATTTCCTTTCAGAACCGAAAAACACTGTCTGATATTCACATCATATCTGTATGTTATATATTATACCAGGAATATTGTCACTATAAAAGGTGTAAAGTTCATTTTAAAAGGCAATTACGTTTTGCCAGGAAAAGATCTCATCCCTTTCTTTATTTCCATTCATTTAATTACAAGTATTACACTTTTGAATTTGGTCTTAAATAAAGATGAAGTCATTTTTTTCAACAGTATTTAAACCATTGCTAAAAGAGGCAATCAGACATAGCTTGTTGAAATACACATAGCTCTTAAGTGATTTTCAATTAGTTTCAAGTGGTTTTCATTTAATATTCACCATTTCACATGTTTTTTCTGGATATTTTGGTAACAGAACATGGTTTTCTCTTGAAAAACAAAGAATTTCATGTACAAAATTATGTCTATCATGAATGATTAGAGAACTTCTAATTAATTTTAACTTCCTGTGGATATTTCTTGGCCTTTAATTATTCTAAAATTCACAGAATACAAAATTATGTCTGATTCTCACAACAGCTATGGACAAAAAGCATGGCACAGAAAATTAATGAAGTTACTTAAAATTTATTTATTTTTGTCAATAACACTCAAAATCGGTCAGAAAAATCAATTATATGTTGGTATTATATTGCATTGGCACCTCTATTCCTAGGGTGTCATATACCCATGTATTTTACTTTAAAATGTGGCTAACATTATAAAATATTCATTAAAGCAAATTTGAAAGACTCTTTGGTGTCAAAGGATAGTATTTCATGTTAGTGTTTTCCAATTGATATAAACATCACCAATGAATTCTCACCATGTCGTTATTTTCTTTTGAAATAATAAACATRTAAATGATTTAAACATGAAATACTTTTAAAAGTAAACACTATCAATATTATAGTGGATTTGCAGGATTAAGAGAATAATCTAGTATGATCTAGTGACACTCYGCTACCTTAAACTAAGAGCTATTATGTACTCCAGGCTTTATTACAGACCAATTAATGTCAYTGTGAAAATCCCTTGTTGAGAACACCTGCCATGAGCTTCTATTACCAAAATATTCTAAACAAACTGATTATGAAACTCATGTTTATAAGATTGTTTTGTTGATAGTTAGTTTGCAAAACTATACATTACTATGGTATTTWAGTGGAACTCATGATAATAATTGTAGGTCAGGGCTGGTTGTTAATGGATAGATTAGGATGGAATCTTTTGCCCTGCTGGGAAAAAAATTGTTTCAAGTTTTCCAATGTATAAAAAATYTGATAAAAAAATCACATCAAGATAATACGCTGATAACAAATACATTTATATAATATTAAATGTAAGTTGCATACTAACTGAAAATTCCTAGCTTTAAATTTACTTTGAGGATAGATAACCAAAATATTAAAGTTGTTGAATAAATCAAAAATAAATGAATGAATGAATGAATTATAATTAATGAACTGATTGACAAAATCAAGGGAAGACAGAATGACTGAGAATTGGGCTGAATACATGGATGGACTGGGATAAGATTGAATGACAGACTTGTGGACCAACACGTATAATTAGTTCCTAGCATAAAATAAATTACAATGATAAGTATTTAATTACTCTTTTTCAACTTAACAATTTGTGATATTTTTCAGGGTGTTGTCTCRAGCAATATTCTACAGTTGGAACAAAGTACAAATCAAATGCACAATTACGTTAACCAGCTCAGAGCAAATAATTCASTTATACAGGTATATGCATATACTTTAGTYKGCTGTAAGGCGGAGTTCCACTATAACAACATTATTCTTCTATTTCTAGGAAAATGGTCTTGACTTTGAATCAATAATAGTCGCACAGTGTGATGCACTGATACAATTTATTCAAACAAGGAAAGCAGAACTTCTCAGTTCAATCTCAAAAGAAGTTGACAAAAAGATAGAGCAATCAAATGAACAAGTGTCAAAGTATGAGAAAAAAATGAAGGAAGCTTCTGCATTATTGAATTATTCTAAAGAAGCTTTGAATGAAGTTGATCCAGCTTCATTTTTACTGGTAAGCTATCAAATAAGTATGTGCAGTTTGTAGATTAAATATGAAAGTGTAATGTGGAAAATAAACCTGTACGAAAGTGCCCTCCTCTTTTGCTCTAACAAATATTTGTTACCATTCCAGGTTGCAAACGCTCTTATAAACAGGTAAGCAATTGAAAGCTCATTAATTTCCAATAATTCAGTTTATATTTCATAATACAAAGTTAATTTGTTTATTCATGTTTGTGGAGTAATAATTTCCTAAAGCATTTCCTTGTCATCTGGTAGAATTACAGATGTCTGCAGTCATTGGCAAAATGACGACGTGCATAAAACACCTTCAAATATGGAGCTGGATCTCACACTGGATACCTCAACAGCTGCWCAGGCACTGCAAGACTTACAGTTTATAGAGCTCAAAGGTAACCTAGTGATGTGTGCCAAAATAGACACCTTTCAATAATGGACAGACACCTTTGTTTTATWGACAGTTAAATTTCATAGACACCTTAGAGCGGATTTCGTATGAGTGGGACACCGTTTCCGCATGGTTACCGCACAGTTACCGCACCTGGCCTGCACAATTTTGGTGAACCAATGGGGCACTAGAATTTGGTTACAGTACGATTAGGGTCACAGTACAGTACCGTCCGATTCCCACAGTACGAAATCCGCTCTAGTTTTACAGACACCTCTGTTTCATATGTACGTATTTATTTCTCAGCTCCATGTGCGCCTGATATCATCCCTGACCAGTGTAGTGTYACCAATAATGCAATCACACTCTGTTGGAAGCCTCGTAAGCGGAGCTGTGTTGAAGGCTATGTGGTGGAATTAGATGATGGAAGTGGAGGAAATTTCATTGAAGTTTACAGGGGAAACTCTCTTGAATGCACTGTACAAGGGTTACAGTTTGACTCCACCTACAGAGCAAGGGTCAAAGGTGTGAATACCACTGGGGAAGGTGCTCCAAGCGATGAGGTCTATCTTACTACTTCCGACAGTGAGTAAACATGAATCCTTTATGTATTATCGGACATGGTTATGATTGGCAAAGTCAATTCGATACACATTTGATCTGACTCGATAGACATTCGACCCACCCTATATAAATAACAAGTCAATTCAGTACACATTCGATCCACTCAATAGACATTCCACCCACCCTATATAAATAACAAGTCAATTCGACAATTAAACATCTGATATCACAATTGACATGAAGTGACATCGCCTGATTTTAACTCTTTTTTGCAGTTGCTTGGTTCAGTATGGACAAAGAAACAGCTCATCCCGAGATAATACTTAGCAATGATAACAGCACAGCGACATGTACAAGCTATGATGACAGAGTGGTTCTGGGAAATGCTGGGTTTTCAAAAGGTTGTCATTACTGGGAAATAACCATTGACCGGTATGACGGCAATCCAGACCCTGCAATAGGTGTGGCCATGGCAAGTACAATGAAGGATACTATTCTCGGCAAAGATGACAAGGCGTGGTGTATGTACATAGACAGCAGTAGAAGCTGGTTTAGRCATAATAATGAGCATTCMAATCGACGTGATGGGGGGATTGAGGTGGGGTCTGTTGTAGGCATWTTTCTTGACGTTGGAAGTCATAAGGTATCATTTTATTTGAATGAYGAAAAACGTGGTGCRATCAGACTACCAAACATTAATGAACCATTGTATCCTGCATTTAGTTTAAATAGAAATGTACAAATTACRTTGCATACTGGTCTAGAGCCGCCTGACTCCCAGGCATATGCTGGCAGGCATTGACATCGAGATATATATAGATTTACTATTAATTATCCTGAACCAAATTTGTACCATGAMTATCATTTACTCTGAATATTTGAAATATTTAGATGAGATAAGATTGCTTAATCTAGGTTTCTTTTTAGCTTGTGGAATTGTCAAGAGATTATCAATGATATAATAGAAATTATATCAGTCTCCCCCAAAATGTACGAAAGAGTCTTCTTGTTTGATGACAAGAAAAAGTCAAAATTTTGAGTTTTGGTCATTTGGTTCAAAAAATAAAATATCAATGTCTTCACCTTCTTCATTTGCTGTTGTCAAAAAACAACAACAGGTAATTAAAGTATTCATGTAACGAGAAGGTGCAGTATTTACTTCCGTATTTAAAATTGAATAATATTATTTTATGTCCCAACTTTTTGAAAGATATTTTATGTACTACATTGTAAAATAGTAGTAGTTATCGAGATTTACTAGATGATTTAAAAAAATATATTAGTGTTAAGAATTTTTATTATGATTAATGAGTGATGAAATTAAGAAAAAATGGATGGTGTTGCCATGGCGATACTGATGTTTTCATGTGAATGGCCACCAAGCTGACAAATAGTATATCTTTTTACTTCAGTAATTTCACTCCCTATGCTAAACAGATTGTACAGTATGTTTTGAGTTTTGAAAATACGTTTGCATTGAGTAAAAGTTGTAATTGGTAATCAGCTAAGTGAGCATTTGAAAAGGAATTACCAAACTTTTATGTCTGCTTTTTTTCCAAGCTTCAATTCGTTTTCTACAGCTTTTTAAATTATTTTTATAAGTAAGCATGTAGAGATTTAAGGTGTTTTTTTTTTATGGCGTTGCAAAATGCTTTGAAGGTTATGCTGGATCATCTACCTATTACATGCAGGTCATGATGCCGAGATTAAAACTGGAATTGTCCGGGATTTGATTTAAATTGAAAATGAAACATCAGGAAAGATGTATGAGCAAGAAATGAAAGTGTTTAAACAGGTGACATTGTGGTGAAGGGTCCTGCCAAAAAGGTGAAACTTTATCTTGTCTTGAAAAAAAGTTGTCAGTTGTTCRCCATCTTGTTGGACCTATTACCGCCTTTAATTTGTTGAGATAACAATTGCCTTGAGTACCTAACTAGTTTTAGAATTGAGTTCTAACATAGATATAGTTACCATTGTCATGCATGTTGACTTTGTTTTACTAGTCGTTATTTTTTCTAAGTGATAGAAAACAAATAATTTTGTTGATGTGTTGTGCTGTGCTAAAGGAAAAATAGCTCAAGTGCATGCAGATTGTGTAAGAAAACAATTTCAAATTACTAGCAATGTTGTGTAATCTGTTATAAAATGAGTATTTTTAATTGTTAAGACATGCGAAATTCTTATAATCAGTGTCAAAATTAGTTTGATACAGTACAACTTATGAAATTAAACTAGATGACAAAACATGATTCAGCTAAAATACTTTGAACGCAAACACTAAAAGCATGAAGGCAATGCAGTGTAGATGAAACAATAGAAAACAAAGGAATTGGCTTGATTCAATACATTATTTAGTGTGAAGTAATCACTAGGCCCTCAAATTTTTCATGGTTTTAGCGTTTGCACTCTCATCTCAATTAACTGACATAAATCTGCATTTTATGATGTCAGCGCTTCAAAAAACCCTAATTGTGTCCTTTAGTATGAAACAAAAAACTATCATTTCATCAAATGAGCAATCAACAAGTGACAATGTCATAATTGTTGATATTATAAACAAGCTAGAGTGATATTATGAAAGGCTTGCTTGATGCCAGCCTGTACAGCACGTTCTCAGCTTGATGATGATAGTTTATTAGATGAGGGACACAGATTTCTAAGCTTCTAAAACTAATGTCTACAATTCTAATTCCAATTGATAATTAATAAAATAAGAAATTTCTTTCAAATAAAAAGATTATTGATGTATTTCAGTGTCTTGTGTTGAATATTTTAGACTTGGTTTTTGATGTTACATCCATGACAGCAGCTGTCAAGAATGCATCTGTAAATACACCCTTGCGGTAAATGTTGTACCCTAGCTTTAACACTGTTTGCAAAAAATAGCAACATATTTCAATCCGGTGAAAAAACCTGGATGCAACAAAATTAAATTTGCAATAAATATTCAATGTTACAAATCACACAACAAATCTCAGATGATGAGCAGGTGAACAAGATGTCCAGCAAATGTCAAAAATATGGATAGTACTTTCTTCTGAATAAATCCTTATCCAGTAGATAAAACTCTTACCAAATTGATGGATTGGATGACTTTAACAAGTTTATAATGTTAACCACCCTTTGTGCAAACAGTCCCAGTAAACGTTTATCATACAGCCAAAAAAAAGGATCAAATGTGTGTTGATTTGCTATGTGTATCAAGTGGATCGAATGTGGACCAAGTGGACCGAATGCATATCGAGTGATTTCACAGATTGAATTATTGATGCTCCATAAAAAATAGAAATATCCTATGATAATACTCATGTATCTTGTAACTTGGTAAGTGAAATGTTTTGGGTGATTAAAATAAACTTCTGAACATCAAAGACTGGTACAAGTAAGTAAGCTGTCAAACAATTACTTTCCAGAAAAGTATATTTTATTGTGTCAAATCGACCTTTTTCACCTTTTATTGCTTGATTTTAAAATTATCAACATTTTATAAGCAAAATGTATTATTTTTTATTTGTGTATTTTGTATGCGTGTCATAGATTTTGTTACCATTTGTTTTTTATAAGCTATATAATGTTATCAATAGCCACCACTTATCCCATTTGAAACTWAAAAAAGAACAAATGATAAGGTTGTTGTACTTTATATGTAAAAAACACATACCAGTTGATGTGTAGACTCAGTCTTCAGCCGTCAGGGTTATTGCAGGTGCATAAGCAATCCTTATGACTGAAGACTGAGTCTAGTATTTAGAAACTAATTGTTATTTGATGACCACAAGTACAACTAATTATATATTGATCTGTAACTATTAGTTGTTAGTAGATGATATTAATTTACATGTCAGCAATTATTTCGTTCAGTTGCTGGTACAATACCATACAAAATAATATGCATCTTTCAAGAGTTTCATCCAAAGAAAATCCAATTTAACATGAAGGACTGGATGTGTACATTGATTCTAATTAATAATTTTCCCAATAATTGGATTGCGATAGTATTATATTATGTACAGCTTATTTCTTAAAGAATTTAAGATAAACCACAGCACCAAGGATTGCAAGTTCTACAACAATGATCATTAATAGAAGTAACTTGTTGGTTGCAACTCTGAAAAGAAATTTGATTATATCAAAACATTTTATTACACATTAATGATGTTAATATTATTTATTTTAATAGTAAAATAATATTATAATTAATACTATTATTTTTATTAGCAACATTTCAATGTGGTTGATATTATACATACCGTATGGCCATACTGTTAAGTATTCTTCGGCTCCTTCCCAAGTCTTGGTGTGTCTCTTTTAACTGAATATAAACAAAATTATAGTTAATATAATAGCAACAACAAAATACAGACAAAATCTAACATAGCAAAAGAAGGTACAAAAGATAAAATATAATTTGGTATGGGTTCCCTGTGCCTTTGAATGAAGCTCCGAAGGATAACAGGTTCAGAACCTTAGAATGTATTGGACGGGCAAGTTATCAAAGAGACTATTTACCCTATCTCTTGTTCTTATCAAGGATTCTCGTTGATCACCGAGATCTTCAATAATTTCTCCTCCTATTTGTTCTGTGATAAAAACAAAATAGTGTTAAATAAAATATTGAAAGATACCTACAGAGTTATTGCAACAATAATGACTAAATTTATTACCAGTTTCTACAGCAACACGTGTTGATCTTGCTATGCTTTCTGATGTTCTGTTTAAGCTTTCTGTGGCTTGGTTAACTCGAAATTTTTGATCACTCTGAGGTAGGTTATCAATAATAAATAACAGATTAATAGCATCTCTTACAATATAACAATCATATCTTAATTGCAACATCATAGGAGTTGTACACACGGAAAACATTAAGATGYTGACAAGAAATATGACATTTACAAGTTCACTGATAACTATACAAAGATTTTGTCAATGATCAAGTTACCTCTGGATTTGAATCAAAGAGTTCTTCTCTTCCAAATGTAACTCTCGGACCTCCTGATGGCTTTCCCTGAAAACCAACATAAATTTCAACATCACACATTGGAAATTATTTCATTTTGTTGCTGTTGTTGTTTACAATATAATGGTTTTTCTTACCAGGTCTTTCCTTAATTTTTCAAAGTCTCTTTTGTATGATCTAACTCTGGATGTCATTGGATTTCTATAGGCTCCTGGTGCATGACCTGCCTCTAATTCCATATCTTCAATCTAGCAATTAATAATATAATAGTTATCAGTAAGGATAAAGGAATATTTATTTATTAGGAGAATACTAAGTGGGTAATCATCGTCCATGTAGCTAAGCTCTAAATTTTGACTATWATACGGACTGTGTTTGTGTTGCTCCAGTCAAAATAGAGTGTGGAGGAAGTATGTTCTTTCACTGAACTTAGACCAGCAAAGTCTCTTCTATAATTTCTTCATGATATAKTTTCTAATATTGTAGGCAATTACACAAGTGATTGTCTTCTTGAAGGAAAAAACAGGGAACTATTGGGCTTTGGCAAGAATAGTGAAAAAAAGAAAAGTGAAATAAATAAGAGAGATAGATCAATAAATGACTTTAAAAGAAAGAAAAAATAATCAAAACAGCTACATAAAACCTAAGATGTTATAAAAATGAATTTTAAATAAATGAAGTTTCAGTTTATATACAAACAAACATAAGCTTAATTTAATAAGCTTATCTCGAACTTTGACTGCAGTCACATGATAAAACTGTCTAGGKTGCTCACCATAATATTCGCATCTTCAATTTGCTTTTCAACCTCTCTTATAGCCAACTTCTTTTTTTCTACMAAAAAAGCGAGGAGGATCAATGGATGTTCTATTATTTAAAATTTTCTGCAAYAAAACTACTAAAAAAGATGATCWCAGAGAAAGCAAGTTAATCTTTCGATAGATGTTGTGATTACCTCCGCTCAGTTTAGGTATTCTGTGTAGTATTTTTGTATTTACATCCTCATATAATGCTTTCAATTCTTCCTCTAGCTCTTCGTACTTCTCAGACGATGTCATTCTGCATAAAAATCGATTAAATACGAGAACAAAATGCACACACAAAAGATATCAACTCAAAATAGGAAGTGACGACGGGCCTAGAGGACTGGGAACTATTTTACCCAGGACATCACGCGCGCTTCAATYCCCGGCTGATTTCCATTCCCGCCTACCGCCGTATGTCGTTTTTTGCGAGAAAATTTCGACTATAGTACAGGCTAACAATTTGTATTTATTGCACTAAACTCTTGAATTACCCTTGGAAAAATAGCAAACAGTAATTACTTCTTGACAAACAGCAAAAAAACGCCTGATTTCTAGCCCTGAAATTTAATCTGATTGGCTGTGTACAGTACGAACAACAAAACAGGGTGGTTAAACAGATTAACGTGTGTACAGGCGGGAACAATTAAAAATCGACTSGATGGTTTCTACCGTTTTTACTAGGTTTACTGTTTCGCCAATCGATCTGTTAATCACGTCTGCGGTAGAGATTTGGAACGCACCGGTAGCCCAAACAGTACACAGGTATAAGTTGACCCAAAAAACGTCACAAAGTTATCCATTACCCTGAGTGGCTCACTTCAATGCCATGAACGTCATTTATGACGTGACCGTAGATGTCATGACTGCTCTTCGATGTAGTCCGAGTAAGCGCTCTTAGAGCGTTCCTTTGGTGCTCCGCTAGCACGGGAGCTCCGCTGAGGGGAAAAAAAGTGTTAGATATAAGTAAAAGGACATTACTAGTACTTCGATAACTATTGATATTCTATTTCCTCTGAACACCCACAACGCTTGGAATATTTTAGCTTTCTTTCTCTATTTTTCCTATCATTTTTATTTTATTCTATTTTTAATTTTTCCTATCATTCATTTTTGTGCTCTTGACCAAAAGCATTACAAAAAACAATAATAATAATAATAATAAATTTAACAATTTGGTTGTATCATGTTTTCTTCGACCTGTTTTCTCAAGAAAGTTACGTCACCWGACTCTAGCACTCTGCATATTTTCTCATTTTTTCATCAGAAATTCGAMACCTTTGTCTCTTTATTTACTTTACATTGCGAAATGCAAAAACTATCAGATATCTGAATACGCTGTAATAACCGGTTTTTATTTGGCAGTAAAATAACAAAYAATTGCAAAATCTTTCAAACTTTTGCTCAGGCTTCTCCAGACCAAAGCGCGTGAGACCTGGTGCCGAAGGTTTCTGCTAACTTCGCCAAAAGCAGAGATGTTTTCAAAACACAACTTCCGATTTCGCTTTACTTTGATTGTTTCTTAACGTTCAAGTGTACTTAATCTGATCAGAATTGATTACTTAAGCTCTGCATTTGCTCATTGACGTCCAGTTCTAGGTCTAGTAATAGTTTTTGTAGGTTTATCTTAGCAATGAAGGCTTTGGCTTCGGACGGCTCGCAGTGATTAGCAAAGGTCAAAGACTGTAGACGGATGCAGTGGTACATTGACAAGAATCCCTACTTTCTCTGTGAAGTATCGCTTGGAATGCCTTGTTTCTAGAGAGGATTACCATGCCTATTTCGGAATGCGAGGAGACGCTGGACCCCTCTAAATGGAAAGGAATGCTTTTGGCGCCTCTGCGAAGGGTAAATCTGCGGCAAGAGATCGACTAATTTGATGTGAAAGAATTTCCCAAAGGGGAAGTGGCTACTAGGACTAGTTAAATAGATCCTGTTTAAGACAAAAAATGTCACAGTTGAGATTTATTGTAGAGATTTATGTTCGAGTGATGCTCTTTGCTTGAAGAGATTGAGTTAACAATAATTTTGAATTAAACTTGTTTGTTATTAGGTGCAAAAAGACGTCCATCCATCACTCGAAGTTCAAGATGAAGCTTTGAATTACATAGAAAATCTTATCATCCATTTGTTATACCATCTCTGTGCTTGCCAGCCGCACACAGTCAGTGATGTAGAAGATCGAGTCAACAAGACTTTTCCAGACCCTATCGACAAATGGGCCATATTAGATGCTCAGGCTGCCATTGAAAAAGGCAAGAAAAAAAGCACCCAATTGATTCTACCGGCCGACAAAATACATCCCCTAATCAAGGTAAAATAAAAGCTTATCCCATAAAAATACATACACATTTCTTAAGCTAAGAGWAACTTATATATTATCTTATTAACTTGAAATTAAATAATTACCCTTGATTGTTTTTAAAACGATTTGAATATTCGTCAAATTTGAGGATGTAGATTATGTTTAGTTTCGAAACCAATCGTAAGCTTATATTGTAGTAATTTTCATCAATTTTTAATCGATTCCAAAATTTCTTTTGACTTTAAGGATTTAAATAAGCCGTTTTATTCTTTCGTATTATCAGAATAGGKTATTATTTCAATCTTAGACTATGCTAGTACAATAAAGTACAATTTAATGYAACCAATCAAAATAATTTTTCTTTTTTGAAAACAAATGCCAAGTATTCCAATATTTGAAATCCTTAAATCATGTAATTAATGAATGAAACCAATGTTTATATTTCCTTGTTGAATGAAAAAATATTATACTTTGTTTTAAATTATTTTTATGTTCAATATAATTCAGTTGTCATCAACAACATTTGAAGAAAAATCATTTTGTTTGGAGTGAAATAATAATTATTAAAAAAATTTTTATTCTAAAAAATGACAAAAAGTTCATTAAACTTGAAAGATTGTTTATTTGTGTAATATTATGCAACATCATATTAATTCTTGTTTTTTTCTTTTATAACTTAATAATGTACTGAAGAATATCCATAATCTATTTTGACTGACGAGGAGTTTATGCAAAATAATCGATAACTTCAAACTGTTRCAAATTCAAATATATCACAAATCACCTTTTGTTTATCCTGGACATCAATTGCACAATTCAATCAAAATTTATACCTTTCAAGTGACAAACAGCATTAATTTGATTTATAAGATCTTCACTACATGTATGTGATATTAAGTAGTATGAATGGTATTGCTAGTTGTTAAAGCTTTAATGTTGTTTTCTAGGATATACTAGGTTACAAGGTTGATTAYCAGGTTTCTGTGTACATCGTGGCTGTCATGGAGTACATATCAGCTGATATTCTTAAGGTAATACTGCCAATCATTCAAAAATAATCTAATATTATAATGATAATAATATATACTTATTTCATTCAAGCTTTATTAATCTTTAAATGTCTTTGAAAAAAATCAAAAAATCATGTTATAGATTTGTACCTAAAAACAGTACAAAGGTTGTGTTTACCATCAACATTATAATCACATTCCTGTCTGCACATTTTATGTTAATTAATATATGTTACATAGACAGAAAATAGCACTAGTTTGCAACACAAGTTTGCTAGGCAGCCGAATGAAAGGAAGGCAGATATTATAAAGTTAATCAAGTAACATTTTTTAATTTTAGCAGTTCTTTTTTTGGAATGAAGCAGGAAGTTAAGACAGACAGGCAGGCAGTCAGATGGAATCAACTTGACAAATGGATGAACAGCAGGATACAGCAKGGTACAGCAGGGTAGAAGTACATCTTGTGTAACCAAGTATGATAGATATGTTGTTAACAGCAGAAATACAAACAGAGAATGATATTATGCAATAGTATGTAGACAGACAAAAAGATAGATGCTCAATACAGAGAGATATTGRCATAGCTGGACAGATGTACCAAGAGACCAACCAACAAACAGACTGACTAACCAACCAATAGACAAACAATAAAGACAGATAGACAGATGAAAAGAGCGG